AATGCAAAATAGTTTGTATTTTTCAACAGACCATGGCATCAAGTATGTTCATGCATCAGAATATTTTATTATACTAAATTCATATATTATAAAAATGAGGACTGTAGTAAAATGCCTAAAAGCCTCAAATGAAGCTTGTAGGAAAAGTTTATGTATAAGGTATCTCAATCTATAGCTAGAAACTTAACATTTCTTTTAAATCTAGATGATAAAAAGTTATTTTTTAAAAAAATAATGTACTGCTTTCCAGGGCAAATGTTTCCATTTGTTTCATGTTCAAAAGATGGAAGTGAGGGGAAAAGGATGGATACTTTATTTCACATTAATACAGACTCTGCCTTGTCTTGCCCAGATTTGACAGAATTAATAACATATTCCTATTTATATTAAGGCTATAATTATACATCAATATAAATTTAAACTTATATAAAACTCAGAAGTATCAAATTTGATCAGTGTGAAATAAGGTTATAGCTAGATTGATGATCTGTGCAGCATTTTATTTTAATTTTCTCCTTAAGAGTTAGATTATTATATTAAAGCATATGAAAGTTGCAGCCAGCAGAGCAAGCTTCAATCATTTTAGTTAATTGGCAACTTTTGTGGAATGTAAAACAACACTCTTTCCCAGTAGTCTCATTTTAAACAAATCGTGCTCACATATAAAAATAGCAAATTGCATTAAATTTTATGTAAGACATTTTACAGCTTCTCATATAGAAACACCTACAAGCAGCTTTCATAGCATACACTAGGAGCAAACAGCTTTGAGCAAGCTCTCTGGCAAGATACCATTCAAAGAGCTACGAGAGATATGAGCTGTGTCGGCCTAATGCTAAATACACCATATGAATCTGCAAGCTTACACACACATTCAAGCAAACACTGTGCAAAAGATGGAGTGGTAATATTCTTTTTTGCCTCTAGGTCAAAAAGTAAAGGGTTGGGATGTTTCTGTCACTTCTGAGTAGTTAATGTTTACACAAAATCTTAATTCTAAAACTCCGGTTATACATGTCTATTCACATTTTTCAAGATGAAGTAGGGGGCGGTAGTACCAACCAGAGTCTCTTAGGCATGACTACTTAATGTTGCTCTTCTTACCCAAACATTGACTATTCTTATAGGCTATCAATTTTAACCCCCAATTTGAAGTCTAAAGATGCGGTTTCCCCCCTATTTTGTCATAAAATTACCTTTAAAATCTTCTAAAGAATGTATTAATGTGGTGGCCTCATTTTTAATGAATACGTTTTTGGGTTCTGACACATAACTACCTGATCTCATACAGACTGCACATCCTTGTTCTGAAAGGGGAGTTTTTCAAAGTCAATATTTCTTTCTTTCTTTCTTTCTTTCTTTCTTTCTTTCTTTCTTTCTTTCTTTCTTTCTTTCTTTCTTTCTCTTTCTTTCTCTTTCTTTCTTTCTCTCTTTCTTTCACACACACACACACACACACACACACACTCTCTCTCTCTCTCTCTCTCTCTCTTTCATGGAATAAGTTCCAGAGGAGGAAGAATTCTACAAATGGGTGGATTTTTGTCTCCTTAAATATGTGCATCTTTGTTCACAGAAAAATGACAGATCAAAGGACAAGTCAGAACGACAGGCCAGTTTCAGGAAGTGAGCAGTCACACTCTGCAGTCCAACGTGCACCAATTGTTGGTCTTTCGATTTTCCTTAAACGGGACTGACTGCATCACAAAGGTTTAAAAAAAAATTGTCTGGAAGAAAGACATATGTATCATAATAATGAATGTCTTCAGAAACTATCCTTCTATCTAAATTCATATATTTTTATATCATTTAATACCTCACTATTCAAAGGACTTGCATAGTTTCATTAGGTAACGACCCCAGTCACACAGAATAAGAGCCAAGCCTTCTCAAACTCAAAGCCATGAATAAACTGTTTCTTTTTGTTTGTTTGTTGGATTTTCTTTTTTGGGGGACAAGTTAATTAGGCTGTTAAATACAATTGACAAGATATTTCCTTCTTCTACAGCTATGAACAATTATGTACTGTAGGATAAAGGCAATAAGCAACAATTTATTATCATAGACAATGTTTTTTTTAGCATTTTTTTTTCCTTAGGTACCTAGTGACTCAGAGGGATAATCCAAATCTGAATTTTATTTGTGGCTTGTTTGGTACTGCAACAAAATCATATAATACATACAGTCCACAAATGAAACTATTCTGAAACAGAATTTAAGTAGTTAAATATTGACTGAGAAAAATATAAAAATATATACTTAACAAAGAGGGAAAGGAACAAAATGATTTTTGAGGTTCAGCAAAATAGACACAGAAAAGTATTTGTTTACTAATAACATTATATCTATTCCCATAATAAAATAAACCATTTTAATAGCCCCAGAGTCTTAATTCTGAAACTTTAATTATCCATTGACTGCTTTATGCATATTTCCACAAACAAGTTTGAACACAATGGCTAGAATCCAAGCATCATTACTTAATGATGTTCTTTCCTTATTTTTAATTTTGGCTGTTGTTTCAAATTCTACCTTCTAGACAGTAGGCATCTAATAAGCATTTGTAAAAGGCTGTATCTGATCAAACCCTGCTATGTATGAATATATTTGACATGTGATGATTTAAAATACAGGATCAGATTATTTTAAGTTTGTAGAGACACATCTGTACGATGTCACCAAGACCTATGGTTTTCACATAAAACATAGCACATCTGTGGCATATTTTATAACTCCTAACAACAGCGAATTCACGTGCCAGTTTTCCACTTCACTTCAGTGCTTTTCAGGTGTTGATGAAATTGCCGAAGTCATAGTGTACACAGAAAACCCTCAGCTTAAATAAGCTTGCTGTTAACAACTTAGTCTGAAATGTTAACAATCCTTGGGCTGTTAACATAACAACTGGCCATTAATGTGGTAATGACCAATTTAAGAGGAAATTGGTCTTTGAGAAATGAATATATTGGTGATCAGGACCATATTTGAAAGAGTAAGATGTATTTATAATAAGTTAACTGACATTAAAACTAAAGCTTAGCAGAAATTAAAAGTTTTATCACAAAAAGCAACATGAATTTTGGTTTATTTTTTAGAGAATGGTGGAGACTTCAGGATATGGAAACTATTTTGATAAATTCCCTTGGATGAAACATTTACTTGAGATCGACAGACCCTGGGTTAAGATCATATCCTATTTGCTATCACAAGGAAGAATAAAACAAAAACAAATCTAAGGTTACTTTTTCTGTTGTCGACACTCTGAAAATGCAAAACTATTTTACTCACAATATAGGCAAACTCCAAACCGTTCAAGCAACATTCTTGGCGGTTTCCATAATGTTTATCTTTTTTACTTATTAAAATGCCTACTCTATCCCAAACTATATAAACTCCTCATTTGCGGCTGCAGATCTAAATCCACTTGATATACCAAAATTGTGCATAACGTAAGTCAAAAGGAGTCAAAAAGCTGTGGGTATTGGTTAGTGCAGACAAAGCGAACCTAGAAAGCAACACGTCAGATCATGAAAAGCAAACACAAACGCTTTATCTGGAAATGAGGCCCTCATTCACAATGAGCACAGGAGACATTTTTTTATTTCAAAGAAGAAAAGTTCAAAGACTTGAGAGTTCTAAAAGAATTTGTGTTGTAGGTTAACTCTGATGAGTTTTGCCACCGTAATGAGGGAAATCCTGGCTCCTGGGAGTCCCTTCCCATTGTTGGCACCTTGTGTGCTTCTGAGCTCTGGGACCACTGGGAAGTGGTCACAAGTGCCTATAATTAGCCAGGAGGCGGTAAGCACAAGCCAGAGCAGTGCTACCAGGGGAGAGCAGAATGTGGAAAGCCACACTGGATTCGCCCTCATCCAACTACCATTAATTAAAAGATATATATGTATTAGGATAAAAATCTGACTTTAAATAGCTGAATTACAGATTAAGAAAAGAGGGATCAAATGCCTAAGAACCACCTCCCAGAATGACCAAGATGGTTGGGTAGGGAGTTACCACCAATTGATAAATTTTGTGTCATAAGGAAAACGATTCAAAATAAATAGCTTAATGTCAGGCTAGAAAAAAATGATTAATTGTATCAAATATGAAAACCCAAATGATGCCATATATCATTTCTCTAATTTGATAGATCCCTACTGTATTAAGATAAGTAATTTGCAGCTAAGTCAAGTCACAAAGTACCCTGAAAAAAAATTTTTCTTCAGTAGCATCTGTGTGTTGACTAAAAGCAGGGGAGAACATTGAGCTAACTTCAAGCTGTCATAATTCTGGATATCCACCTTGTCTTGAAATTGTTCTGATGTTCGTACTTTGGTGGGTGGCAACTGGTGCCCATCAACTTTGATGTCTTTACTTTTCATTCTCCTTAAAAATCACAAGAGAATCTGCAGTTGCTCAGTGTTGACACAATCACTTAGGTATCACTAGGTGGCCAGACACAATCCCACCTGTGCATATGGTTCCAAAACCTCACAGTAACACGTACAAGTGAAGACTTTAAATGTGACTTCCTTTAACATACATGAGATAGGAAAGCTAGCTGCATAACCAGACTGCCTGTTCCAACTAGAAAGTTGAACTTATTAATAGTTCAGAGCTAAAATGTCTAGCTAAGAAACAGACACATTTCTCTGTCAGCCTCAATCAGTTTTGTCGCTTATGCTTGCATGAAGGAAACAAGCCCGATGCTGTTTTCATCTAGGTACACCCTTGGCATGAGGTGCAATGTTCAGTGTAATGAATGACCGAGTCTTCAATCAGAACACTTGGACAAGACAACTAGAAACCCTTTAGATGTTTTTGCTGGCTGTCCCTTAAGCAGACATTTGTTTGGCTTAGGCCAACATTTTGAAGGCTGGCAGAGTAACGTCTTTCAAGAACATCAGTCGGTGGGTACGGAAATCAAACGAACCAACCAAGAGGACACTTAACAAAGTACTGCAAAAGACACGCAGCCATCACTGGTGTGCAATGATTCCTACCTCAGGTAGTCTCTGCGGCAGAGGATGAGGTTGGCTTTCGTGTACAGAGTGGAGCCCACCTCTCCCAAGCGACAGTCACAGCAGGCACACTTCAGGCAGTCCTCATGCCAGTATTTGTCCAGCGCCTTTAGGAGATACCGGTCCTTGATTTTGCGGTTGCAGCCAGCACAACCTTTCGGCTTGGTGTCTGGCTGAACTGAGAGCATTTGTATGCCTGAGGACAAGAAAGGAGAAAGGAGAGTTGAGACACCAAGACAGAAGGAAAGACAAACAAGTGGAGAGTTAATGCTGCTCCTGTGCAGTGTTACTCCTTACTTTTCTTTCCTTCCTTCCTTCCTTCCTTCCTTCCTTCCTTCCTTCCTTCCTTCCTTCCTTCCTTCCTTC